AAAAAAAAAACAAATCAAATATTTATGTAAAATGCGCTATATATATATAATTATTTATTGTAATTAACAAATTTCATTTCAAGAAAAATTAAATTCATAAAAACAACATTTATTTTAATTCTACTTAAATTGTATTTAAAAAAGCAAAATTTTTTAGATTTGTTTTTTGTTTTTTTGTAAATAAATATTTCTCTCATGTTAATCGACGACGAAGTAGCATTACGTGACTGGCTTGTTACAACACTTGAACCATTGTAAGTTTTTTTTTTGTTGAATTTCTGCTTAGTATGATTTTCAATTATTTTTTTTTTGTTTTTCATATTTTGTTAGATGTGATGCTGAACCAATAGCTCTTGCTCGTTATGTTCTTGCACTTGTTGCAAAAGATAAACCATTAGATAAACTTCGTGAAAATTGTATTGATCGACTTGAAGTTTTTCTTGATCGATCAACAAAAGATTTTGTTGATCAATTATTTGATGTTATACGAAATCGACGATATATACCTGAAGGAAAAAAAGTAAGTAAAATTTCAAAGATTGTAAAAATTTTATTTTATAAATTAAATAGGAAAATGTTCAACCAAAACCAAATGAAACAATTGCTGAAATATCTGGAATACAACAACAACAACAAAATGTTCAATTACCAACAAAACAAGAAGATATACAACAAATAGAATCAACAACACCTTCATCTACAGCAGTAATTCAACCAATAAAAAGGTAAAATTTTCTAATAATAAAAAAAATAAAAACTTTTATTTTTTCTTCTTTAGACGATATTCTTCTCGTTCTCATCAAAATACAAATAATGAAAGTCATAAACGTCAATCAACAGGTTCACCATTAGCTAAACGTACACAACGTTCTTATTCTCATTCATCAACTGATTCACCATCTCCATCATCACCTAAAAATACGAATTTTTTATCGAATAAAATTCCATGTAAAGATTTTTTTGATAATAAAGGTTATTGTTCTCTTGGAGATTCATGTCCATATGATCATGGATCAAATATTTTAACTTTTGAACAACAACAACAACAACAACAACAACAACAACAAAATTATTATCCATCATATCAACAATATGATATATCATCAACAAATATTCATCAACAATATAATCCTGAACTACCTGATTTAAAATATGATTTACATCAAACATCATCTATGATTAATAGACAACCATTACCTATTGGTCAACGAACACTTGTTACTGTTGTAACTAATGCTGAACCATTAACATCAGAACAAAAATTACGACAAAATAATTCAAGTAGATTTTAATTAAATTCAAAAGAACAAAAATACATATATTTTTTTTTATTGAATAATTTTTATAGTTAGTCCTATGCATCGTACGAAACGACATGTTACTACTGCATCATATCCAAATGATAGGCGAACACAACAATATGATCATCAATCAAATAAACCTAATCAAGATACTAATCATAATCGACCTCGAAAACGTCCATGTAGGTTTTTTGAATAATTTAAAGGAGCTCTCTTTCGATGTGATCTGATAGTAAAGTTTTGATAAGAACTAATTGTTATGGTATGTGATGGTAATATAAGATCACCTTTTGTCTACGATGTGTACTCTCTCTCTCTTCTTGATGTTTCCTTTGTTATTAACACTTAATTGTATTCGTTGAATGCATTTATCAAATGTTCTTTTTTTTTTAAATACCATTCTTTACACAAAACAATGTATGAACTTGTTTGTAGCACGATGTGCAACGATTTTCGAATTACTTAGATTTTGCTTAGTTAAATCGAATAACAAAAAAATCATATAGTGTTAAATTGGAAGAATTACTTAAGTACAAACTTAATGAACTTATTGCTGTATTCATTCTTTGTTTCTATCATCACCACTACCTTTTGTATACCTCCTAATATGTATAGACGGCTAGACATGAGAACAATAAAAAAAGGATATACATTGAAGACAAAAAATGTGATCTAATATTACCTTCACACATACGAACAAACAGCTCTTATCGAAAATTTATTATTATGATATTAGTTGAAGAATGATCAAATATCAGACGGTTTTATTAACATTGATTACAATTTAATTTATAAATTTAACAATGGAATAATAAAGTAAACAATATCTCAGAAAGAATGAGTTCGTCAATGATTAAATTCCTAGCGATAGAGTTTAACAGCTTGGTATGATTAGGATGCGACCGGTCAGAAAATAAATGATACTTGCCGTTAAGGCACGGGGTTTTTATAAGTAATTAAAATACTTCCGCTCACTACTTTTCGTATGTCCTAAAACATATAAATACTTCTATTTGAGTAATTTAGGGCAAAAATCTGATGGATCTGGATCGACATCAACAACACTTGAAATACGTAAAATTCCCGTTGAATTTAATACAATATCAAAATTAAATGAACATTTTAGTAAATTTGGGACTGTTACCAATGTTCAGGTATCTATCAAATAATTATAATTCCATTTTAACATTTTATTTTATCTCTCTATGAAAAGAAGATAGACTTTAAAAAATCGATCGAATTCGAAATAAAACATTTTAGTGTTGTCCATGAAATTTATTATTATAAAATAAACATAACTTTGTTTATACATTTAGATTGCTTTTGATGGTTCTTCTGATTCAGCACTGGTTGCTTATGCAACATTTCAACAAGCTGAAACAGCATATAAAAATCCTGAACCATTATTTAATAATCGTTTTATAAAAATATTTTGGCATAATCCTAATAAAGTAAATTTTTTTTTTGTTATCTTTTGTTTTCATAAACAAAAAAAAACTAATAATAATACAAACTTTCAGGGACAAAATTCAATAAACACTACTAATCCTAATCCACCACCATCGGATACAACATCAATAAAAAGACAACGAACAACCAATTCAAATTCAACCAAACATCATTGGACTAAAATACAAAAATCATCATCATCAAATAAAAATGAAGTAAGAATTTATTTTCCTATATTATTAATGAATATCATTTTTTATTTATTTTTAGATACCACCGAAAAAAAAATCAACAATACCATCTGTACCATCAATAGTTAAGAAAGAAGCAGCAAAAAAAGCTGCAATAGAAATTCGTCGTAAAAAACAAGGTCTATTCGAAGAACAAATTCAACAACAAAAATTATTATTAAAAAAACTTGAAACAGCTGAAACAAATGAAGAAAAAGGATCTATTCGATCATTGATGAAACAAGTTGATTCAACTATTGTTACGCTTAAAGATTCACTTGGTACAATACCAATAAAATCATCATCACCATCCACGACAAAAATAAGTCAACAAGATTTACTTAAAAAACGTGCAGAAACATTAAAAAAACAAATTGAAAGTCTTAGAGCTAAAACATCAGCAGATATGGTTAGATTCTTTTTTTTTTTTTAATAATTTAAATTATTATTCATCCGAAATTCTATTGGTTTTTTTTTAGCGTCGTGCGATAAATAATACATTAGAAAATGAAGTTCCAAATTCAAATCGAACTACTGATATTGATGAAGATGATGAAAGTAATCTTCTTAATGAAGAAGATCAATTATTAATTGATAATGAAAAAACAAAAAATCAATCGTATAAATTCGATACACACGATGAAGCACAATTACTCGATTCTTAATACAATCATTTTTTTTTTCTTTCTAAATATAATTAAAAACTTTATAAAACAAACAAAATTATCTGTGTGAAATTACTTTTTACTTTTTTGGATGTGTGTGTTTTCTTCTGTTTATTTTCCGTCTCTAGTTTCATTTTGACTCTATGTTGTCAGAAACATATTTAACAAAAAGAACTATATTATATACAGAATAAAAACATATCTAGAGATATATTTGATTCAGCAATAGAAATATATATATATATATTTGTCAAGTTTATAGTCTTTTACTAAGATAAAATAATATAAATTTAGGTACATGCTAATGTTACTTAAAGTTGAAGGACGATCTTTTATTGCATTTTTGACAAGAATAAAAACTTGTATGAATATCAGACGCGATGTCAAATGTCATATAAGTACTATTTATATAAAAAATTTACAATGGGATCAATATAAATAGACACACAATGAGAAAGAATAAGTTTTCTGTTCACTGCTTGTTATTCATATTTGAGTAGATGTCAATCCAGCTGAGTTAAATAATCTTTCTATCAATGCACTGATCGTTGGTATATCACGATCAATTAGGTGACTTCGATGTACTGCAGGTTTTGCATCAAGAAGAAGATTGTCCTATTCTTGTATCTGTAGGACAAAATAGCCTACCCACAGGACAGATCCTCCATCCTGTGACGTTTTCTAGTCTTAGAAATCTTACACTAAATTGTACTATAAGATTCTTGAAAGATCTTACTGTGATATGAGATTTTCTATAGTGACATATTATAAGGTAGCAAGATCTTTCAAGGATATTATAATACGACTTGGTGTAAGATTTCTGAGATTACGTTCTTTTTTGTATGATTTCAACTGGTCTTGCAAGATTTTAGTGTCTGATTGTTTGACCTGGACACCACTTCTGCTAAAAATCGTACTATATGATTCTCATATGACTTTAATGTCAGAATCTTATACGATTCATGCATCATTTTCTTGTATTTTTGGTTCCTATCATCTTGTTTTCTTAGGGAAGTCTTTTATTCTTACCCGCATATATATTTATTTATTTATTTACAAAAATTACAAAATAAAGACTATAAAGAGAAAAGAAAAATTATTTTTATTGAGTTTGCTAGTTAAAATAATCTAAAATAGTAAAATAAACAATTTAAACAAAAGAAAATCTACTTCTATTTAATTAGATCAATTAAATTATTTTTGGAATGATTTTTTTTAGTAGAAATTTTGTACAATATCGTATAGTATGAATTTTGCAACATCTGATTGTTTGTAAGATCTTGTACAACCTTCATAAGACTCTTTCATGTTGGTTATTGGAAAAATAATGATTAATTGCATCTGTCCAAATAATCATTGATTCATTGCGATTTATCGGAGTATCGGAAAAATCGTTGATTAATCGCAATTCATCGACAATTTTCGATATTTGTGATGAATCATGTTTTCGGATACTCGTATAAACATTTTTCAAAAAAAAAAAATGAGGGATGTGGCTGTAAGACTTCAGCTACCCGCACCCATGTGCATGAGATTTATCAAATATCGAACTGATGATAGTCGTTAGTCAATAGAGCTATTGGAGAGTATTTGAATAAAGTATAAGTTATCGTGATTTTCGATAAAAATCGAGAAGAAATAGCAAAAAAAAATGTTTTTTTACAAGATTTCATGGCGATATCATCTCATAATAAATCAGACTAATAAATCACGATAAAAATCATCCACTTTCATTACATAAGTAATGACATAAAATAAAACCATAAAAAGAGAGAGATATTTTGAGATATGTCCACCGTCTAACAATTGGAAATTCAGGGAGATGCAGTAGAACTTAGTATTTGAAGTACACACATCAGGATTGTATATGTCAGTCTTTGTGATTCCGTCACTGAGACAATGTGTAACAGTATTTCAAGTCCCTTCGTTGTAGAATGCATTGAAAACCCTCGAATTTCAACTCAACTGCAGTCGAATTTCCAATTTCTGGATGGTAGGGTATTGTTGTACACTATTTATTATGTCGTTTAATAAAAATGAAATGAAGAAATATAAAGTATCTATTTCTTAGATTAACCAAAGATCTTCTATTGACCGGAAATAATTTTATATTTTTAATATGTCTAAATTCTGCTTCATGTATTTCGAATGTTGAATTAGCTTCATTATGCTTTCATCAGCGACAAAAAAATAACCTAAAGATAAAAATGTCATATATACAGTGAGCGACAATTGAATACCCAACCGCTCCCCCTCTCCGCTTTATCTTTCTGTATTTTTACTACTGTCCTTCGTTTATTTTTCGAACCTATTGTCTACAACAAGAAAGAACAAAACACCCTGGACCTTATGATGTATACAACATGAATAACAAGTAAAATTAAAAATATAGAAGCTGTACCAGAAAAAAATGTAACTTTGTTTTTTACTATGTATGATATGTATAATACAAACATGCCTTTCTTTTTTTCTTCGATTGTATGTTTTTTTCTTGTGTCTTGTTATATGTGGGAAGAAAAAGCCACATCACTTTTGTTTTTATGCTTTGCATTTTATTTAAGATGTATATATGTCATCAGATATAATTTTTTTACTATTAATGATATATTTTTGAAAAACAAACAAAATATTAAAAAAAAATAAAAGAGGAGTCAATTGATTGGCCTTCGTTGTAATGAGTACACACGGTACATCATGCGTATCAAATTGCTCATACACCAAGGATCACAATAAAAAGTGAATGTATATGTCAATAGTGAAAATTTTTTTCTTTAGTTTTATTTTTTTAATTTTATTTATTATAATAAGAAGTGATGATAAAACAACATATATATGTGATAGAAAATTTTCATGTGGATGTTCATCAGATTTAACTATTCGTGGACGTATATTTGGTGGTGAAAACGTTTTATCATATTCATGGGGTTGGATTGTAAGTTTATATCGTTCAAATATTTTTTTTTGTTCAGGTTCATTAATATCATCAAATTTAATTTTAACTGCTGCACATTGTATTCAACCTGAATTATTAAAATTATCACAAATTACAATTATTGCTGGAAGTAATACACTTTCAAATCGTGACGGTCAAGGACAATTACGTCATATTTATGAAGTTTTTATTCATCCAGATTTTGAGAATAAGTTGAAACTTAATGATATTGCTATTATTCGTTTATCAAAACCATTTGATATGTCAAATTCAAGATTAGCTATTGTATGTTTACCTAATGCAATTACAGCTGAATTAATTACTAAATTAGAATATCCAATACCAGGTACAACACTTGTTGTTATTGGATGGGGTATAACTGAATATAGTCGAATGTATCCATCAACAATTCTACAACAAGTTACAGTCAAAGCAGTAGCAAGTACATCAAGTGATTGTACGACTTCTACTCGTGAAATGGTTAATGTTACTGTACATTTTTGTGCTGGAGTACCAGGTGGTGGAAAAGGTAAATAGAGAGTGATTAACGAGTTTACAAACAACAAAAATAATAATAATGTGCTTTTTTTAAATTTTGTTTAGATGCGTGTCTAGGTGATAGTGGAGGTCCAATAATGGCTTTTGTTGATAATCGTTGGCAAATTGTAGGTTTAATATCCAATGGTTATGGATGTGCTCTGCCTGGTCATTCAGGTATTTATACACGTGTTGCATATTATATTCCATTTATTGAAACAATTAAAAATCAAAATCAAACAATCTATTCATCAGTAATTGCAAGTATGCCTAACAGTTGTAATAGATGGCAAACAACCATGATAGAAAATATTGTTTTTATTATTTTATTATTAATTTTTAGCATGTTTAATATATTATAAAAAAAAATAATTGTAAAAGAATATTATTTCATTTTTTTTAAAGACTTTTATATACAAATAAACGATTATTTTAAAGATTTCTTTGTTAAATATTAACAGACATAAAGAATTCTTCAACAAAATGAAAGCAGAGAGACTTATTTATAGGAGTCGAAATTTTAAATATCGAATAAATCAAATTCTGTTATAGATGTAGAATTCAATGGTGAATATGTTGTGAATAGAAGAGATTTTGTCAATAGTAAAATTATCGAAAAAATTTCATCGGGATTCCATGTCATCCACAATAACATATCAATATAAATAGTTTAGTAACATAATACTTTTAGTTTTACAGAAGAAGATAAATCGTATAATGAAAAATATCATTCGATTAGTTTATTGAAGGAGATAAACAAGGGAATACAAATGTATAATCACATATAAAATACTAAATAGAGACATAAAAAAAATCAATCATGTCATTACTATTGTTCTTTGTAAAAAAAAGCGAGAAAGACCTTCAAGTTATCATATAAATGTTATTTCTATTTTTGTTTTCTTCTTTTTTTCATGTATTGACAAATTATTTTTTGCAAATCATACGTGAAAAACTCGACAAGTCTTTTTTGTTTGTTTATTTTGACATATTTCAATAAACAACATAGCATTCAAATTTATAAAAATTATTTCTCTTTTTTTCGAAAGTAATAAATAGAATTTAATACTAAATTAAAATAATTTTAATATTATATAGAACATCGATCGAATTAATTAATTAATAAGAAAATTTATGAACAAATATATAGAGTGAGCAATATAAATGAATTTATATAAGTACAAATCAATTGATGGCAGACTATGATGACAAAAAAAGAAAAAGAAGTTCAATTGAAAATAACGATATCACTTCCTAATTATTCATTTTCTAGGCAATTAAAAATTCCATTGATACGGTTCAATGAATAACCTTGTGGCTCACTATCTATTGTATGTTGTAAACAACGATGATAAAAAAAAAACACATATATAACGTTTTTTTTGTACGTAAATACGATAGAGAAGAAAAAAAGAAGCAAAACATACAAAATAAATATTATTTACTTGTTATTAATAACGAATATGCTACCTTCGATAAATAATATTGAGCATGTTTATGATAACAAAGAACATATTGGTCAATCCATATCTCCTCAATATAATTATAATGGTAATACTGAAAATGGATCATCTGATGTAGTTGTTGATGAAAATAATTTAGATGAAAATCAACGATTAGTTGTTATTAATGAATCTCAACCATTGTAAGTTAATTTAATTAAGTTAATATAAAAATATTAGAAATAAAATTGATTGGTTTTATTTCATTTTGGTTTTGTTATTTCATAAATAATTGTATCAAATAGAAATATTGAAATCATGTTTGTTTACATTTTTTAGTATTTTGTCCAGTGATATTTAGATAAGATTGCTTACCTATATTTGAAGGTTATAAAAACAAGGATAATCATCGAAATCAATTTAGTAAAGAATTGTTTTTTTAATGAATTACATTAACCAGTATACCATAAAGAATGAACCTCTCAAAGATTTTGTTAGCTTTCGTTGTTCAGATTCATAATTTATACTAAAAAAAAAAGTAACGAATTCGATTATCTACAAATCTATATAAAAGATGATGGACCAGAGACTGATATTAAATGTCGATAAGTTTAGTTCTAGTTCAGATCTGAGAAAATGTTGAAAACATTCTTTGATCTGTAGAGCTCGTCGGACTGACTCCGAACTGATATACAGTGAATTAAAAAGTCTTTGTAAAGTGTTATTGCAAAAAGCAAGTAACTTTCAGTTGTTAGCAATTACTGATCTGAAGTCTACAAACAATCTAAGACATACTGTAATAAATATTTATGCAAGGTTAAAATACAGCGAACTTAATGTGTGTTACAAATCAAATAAAAGTATACGAGGTAGTTGCGATAGGAAATAACCAGAAGTCACCGAAAAAAAATCTTAGATACATTTCGATCATATACGATAAATCTGACACTCTATGAGTAGATATGAATAATTTGTTCTAGATCTAAGTATACATTAAAATGTTTCATAGTAATATTTTCATGATTATTTAGAACTAGGTGTAGTGTACTTTATTTGGGTGCTGCTATTCCATTATTAGATAAACATGGTATTGATTCTATACAAGAACCATTATCGAAACGATATCCAGTCGATGGTAAAGAATTTATTCAAGGTAAGAAGTGTTAACATCTTGCATAAATTAACATCTAATGATAAGAATAAATCTTCTATATATTGAGAGTAAGAAGAAAAAAAAGAGAATATTCTAGCATTTCGGCTACCTAGCGGCGGACTCAATATCTTCCCTGCAACTAATACTAGCTGTAGTTCTGGAAGAAGGCCATCTTGACACAGAATTCTTGCTAGTGCTGTATCCAGCGTGAAGGTCAAGAAGGTGGCGCCTCTTCGAAGATCGATCTGGTCTTACAAGAGCTTGTGATTGTTGTGCCACGTACTATGTGTTTGTGCTCCTAAAAATAAGTACTTACCCTTCCGAAGTTTATAACTAACTACATACTAGCTACAAGACTGAGTGTATGTCAAAATGTAGTCAGTACGTTAGTGAATGGATAATCCGAGACAAATAGTTGTTCATGACTTGTACGGGATGATTTCATGACTGGTAGTATTCAGATTTGAACATAGTACCCTACGGATATCTGTCGAACAATGTAGCCATTCAACTGTAGCTGTCCAAAAATTAAATGATTATTATCATGATCGGATATAGATTTCCTTGAAGAAAAAAACTCTTTGATTCTGAAAATTGAATAACTACTTACCGAATTAATTCTAACAGAGATTACAGACTAATGATGCAGATGAATGCTAATCTAGTAAACTCAATAAAAAAAAAAGTGTTCAAACAATCAATAAAATTCAATTATTTAATTAATGAAATTTTGTTATGATAACACATCTAGCTACATTAATTCTACCCAAAAGCTGATTTGTTTTTATTATGTCGATTAGTCAATCATCAATTTGTATTTCTACTACATAGGTATTGAAATATGGTTATCTATTGATGAAAATGGTTTACAAATACAATATGCTTCTGATCCATCACTTATGATTTATTATCCAATTCGTTCTCTCGTCTATTGTGCAAGTGTACGTCGTATAATACGGAGTACAATTGGTGAAGAATTTCAAAATGGTTTGGGTTTTGTTCCATTAGATTATCCAGAAGTTAATTATACAGACAATTCACGAAATCCACCATTATTTGCTGTTATTTTTCAACGAACACGTCATTTACCTGTATATGAATGTCATTGTTTTGTTGTAAAATCTACACAAGATGCATTAGATCTTGTTCAAGCTTGTAATGATGCATATGCAGCAACCGATTCACAACAAGATTGTTCAAAAGTTCCACTTTACTTTAAAGTAAAAAGTCAAAAAAGAAACAAAAAAGAAATGAAAATTTCTATCTTTGTTTCTTTTTTTTTTTTATTATTTAGATTAATGATGATGGATCAAATATTCAAGAAACTGATGATGAAATATATATTGTACCAGCATTAAATGAAGAAAAAACAATAGATTATCAAGTAAATAATAAATGTGCTGGTTTTTTCTATACAACAAATAAAATATCGATTAATTCTTGGCAATTATGGCATCTTCCTAAACATGATAGTTATCGACCATCAAGTCGTCTGTCTTCAAGATCATTATCATCTATTTCATATCGTGAGGTTCGTCAACGTCGTCGTACATCTATACAATCAAACTCTGATACTCAAGTATCTTTATTTGAATTTCAATCTAAACCAACAAATAATTCCACTAAAGAATCATTAGAACCGTCGGCAATCGATCCATATGCTCCTGATCCTAACGTTGTTCGTGTTGAACGTATAAAAGATATAAATACAGGTCGAGATGTTTTTGTTCGATTTCTTCGGAGTATACCAGAAGATTTCGAACAATCATCACCAAATCAAAAACCTTCTTATGATTTTCATATAGATTTTAATAACGAATATCAATCAGTAGGAGAACTATCTAATGAAATGAAACATTTAGTAATAGACGATGAGCGTTCTGAAAAATCGGTCACAACTGATGACAACCATTTTCAACAACCAACCACTATTGACGATGAATATTTAACAAATACGATCACAATTGACGATGAACATTCTGAAACACTGACCACAATTGATGATGAACATTTTACAAAATCAGACGTGAGTGATCATGAACATTCTGAAGACTCGACCATAATTGATGATGGACATTTTACAAAATCGATCATAAATGATTATGAACATTCTAAACAACCAATCACCATTGATGATGAACATTTAAAAAAATCAGACGTACGTGATTATGGACATTCTGAAAAGCCGGCCATAATTGATGACCAACATTTTAAAAAATCGGACATAAGTGATAATGAACACCCTAAAAAGCCGGCCACAATTGATCACCAACATTTAAAAAAATCCAGCAAAGATGATTATGGACATTTTGAAAAATCGATTACAATTGATTATGGACAATTTGAAAGATCGACCAAACGCGATTATGGACATTTTAAAAATTTGAACCCAATTAATAATGGACGTTTTGAAAAATCGGCCTTTAGTAATTATGAACATTCTGAAAAACCAGCCACAATTGATTATGGATATTTTGAAAAATCAGCTCCAATTGATTATGGGTATTTCAAAAAATTGGGCAAAAATGATTCTCGATATTTTGAAAAATCGGCCACAATTGATTATGGACATTTAAAAAGATCAGACAAACGTGATTATCGACATTCTGAAAAACCAATCACAATTGATTACGAACATTTTAAAAGACCGCACAAAAGTGATTATCGACATTCTGAACAATCGGCCACAATTGATTATGGACATTCTAAAAGATCGAACAAAAGTGATTACCAGCATTCTAAAAGATCCAGCAAAAGTGATTATCAACATTCTAAAAGATCGAACAAAAGTGATTATCAACATTCTGAAAAACCAATCACAATTGATTACGGATATTCTAAAAAGTTGGGCAAGAATGATCATGGACATTCTAAAAGATCAGACAAAAGTGATTATCGACATTTTAAAAAACCGACCACAATTGATTATGGACGTTCTAAAAAACCGGCCATAATTGCTGATGAATATATTGAAAAATTGGGCATAAGTGATTATGGACATTATGAAAAAACGCTCTCAATTGATTATGGAAATTTAAAAAAACCGAGCAAAAGTAATCATAGACATGTTGAAAAATCGGGCGCAATTGATAATATGCCACAATTTATAACAACGGATCATCAACGAAAAAAATCGAAGAAAAGACATAAAAAACACAGACATCATAGTTATGAAGGTATTCATGAAGTTTTTGAAGATCATCATAAAAAAAAGCATTCGCATAAAACTCACAAAAGTCATCGACATAAACATCATGAAGTTATGAATTTATCTGCACCTGCATTACTACAACAACAATTTCCTACGCAATCTTTTAGTACGGGATATCCATATGAGTCGAGATCTCGATATGACACGTCATTTGTATTCCATACATTACCATTACCTTATCAATCAAATGTTATTGATGAGACTTCTCCATATCGGCTTTTTTAGAATGTAATTTTTTTTCCTAAAATTTGTCTTTTTTTTTTTTTTTCTATATGTAAGAAAAACGCGCATTTATATTCAAAAAAAAAATATCAATGACTTTTCGTATATATCTCGTAGCAGGTTATACTTATGAATTAAATATAGAAAATATGAATAAAATTCCATCATTAATTTTAAATAATTCTATATATATGAAACAATTTTATGATCCTATTCGACAAGTTTATTGTATTTCACGTAATCGTGCTTTTTTTGAAATACTTGTTTTCTATATTAATCATGGAATTTTATCAAGACCTATTGATATACCACTTGTAAGTATTTGATAACGAAATGGTAAAAAAAAACGTAATTTGAATTATATCTATAATAGGATTTATATATTGAAGAACTCAAGTAAGTTGATTAATATTTTTTTTCGTAATCCTGGTCATTGGGAGCGAGGACTAAAGATTCCGATATGAAGCAGCCGAAAGTATTTCATGATTCAGATAGTAGTGTTACACTCTTACCAGATCATACTATTACTGGAAAAACGATTGAATATACCAATTAAAAGAAACTCTTTTTGTTAACTATAATAGTTTTATTAAAAATTTTTGCGATATATTACACTGAAATTACAGCTGTTTTCAAAAAAAACTTACACATCTTGTTATGCAAATACATCCTTATATATATATGTGTCATTCTCAAGTGTAGTTTCGTATACTGACTGATAGCCTATGACGAGTACTATTAATCCTTGTGTCTTAATGTTTTATTGGTTCGTCTCTAGAAGCAATAAGAGACAAAAATCTTTTTTTCCATAGACCTTACAGAATTCTTTACAATATTAACATCGAATTCTTCAGATAAAAAAAGCTCAAGTTCATCAATGTTTTTGGGTTTTCTTTGTTCAACTTTGTATTTTACGATCGACCAAGTGGGATCCGGATTCATAAATTTTGGATCCGACAAGCTCTACTAGTAAATCTAAATGGTCTCTATCTATGATGAAAAGTTCAGAGAATCTGCATTTACCATTGAAGGGATATAGATGTTCAAATTTAAAAAAACAATGAAATTCCATAATGCTTGCCCGCGCTGAGTTTTTATTATCCAATATATATATATGAAAAAGACTTCTAAACAAAATCTAAGTTGTTGTTAATTAATCTTGTTAACTTAAAAAGAGTATTTATAAAATAGTTAATTGAATACAAACTTTCAGTTATTATTTTGTCGATCGTTATTTTTTATCAAAATTAAAAGAAACTTATGATATTCCTCAAATATCTGATACAACTGAAATTCGTTATTTACCACGATCATCGATAAAAAAAATTCTTTGGCGTTCAATAGAATATAATGAAACATTATTTGGTCCATTATATCGTTTTATTTTTGGTTTAATATGTATATGTTCAATATTTTTATTTATGTATGAAATAATTGTAACAAGAAATGAAAATTTTCTTGAATTTATTGAAAAATATCGTGGTTATTTTCAAAATATAATACATCCTGTTAATATAACTGTACATGTTATTGATTATCGTCCTGATATAAAACGTCTAGCATTTTCAATTGAAATTATATTTATTTTTCTATGGACTTTAGAATTATTTTTACATATATTTTCTGCACCAAATTTATATCTTTGTATAAAATCAATGTATTTCTGGTAAAAAATATTGTTTCAAAATGATCTCTAGTAGAATTAAACCTATAGCACTTGTTGATATTGTGTACCGACCGATTGAAAGAGGCAATGTTTGTTGAAGACGATCAGCTCTTTTTTTATCTAATAATCCGAAGACCAATCAGACTAGTGTTCATCTGGATCGAAAGTGCTTTTCAAAAGGTATAAAACATAGGTTGGTATGATTTCTAGTCAACCAGACTGTTTTTTTGAGTGCTTTCAAATGATAGAAAAACATCGAGGAAAAAACAAAGGCTAGACAAGAAAATTCTAACGAGACTATTCTCGAGACATGATTTTATGGATTTTTTTGCCTACAATTGGTAGACTTCGATTAGAGAAATACGATTCGGATGAAAATTAATATGATATTCTGAATCGGCATTTAAAACCGAACAGACTTATGTGTATTTCAAGAATTTTCACAACCTTTTCAAATCCATCCTTGGTTCATCTTAGGATAGGATGAAAAAATGAACGTCATAAAAACTCTGTTTTTTTTGTTTATTTATTTGTTATTTGAAGTTCTGCTATTGTTTTATAAACTTAGAACTTAATTTCCACTATGAAAATAACTTTTCAATGAAATTCATTTTTTGATCGAATCCTGATGGGGAACCCAGAAGTGAGTTTTTCGACGAAAAAAAAAGATTGCAAAAATTTTTGAAGAATACACATTACTCCATTCAATTTTGAATGTTGATTCCAAATATTATATTAGTTTTCATCCAAATTGTACTTTTCTGATTGAAATCCACTAAATATCAGGCAAAAAAACATCCCACAATCATGTCTCGAGAATAGTCTTATTGAGATTTCTTTTGGTGACTAATGCTTTTCCCTTGATGTTTTAGAATCACATGAAAATAGCACATATGACGGCCATTGACTAATTCTACTAGAACTCACTTTCTGACATCTTGTGGGATAGTTTAACATAGATGAAACTAAAATTCTCGAGGGATTCATTTTCAATAATTATCGATTCGTTCCTTCTCTTCTTGTAATTACTTTTTTTTTAGGATTGATATAATTAATATTTTAAATACAATTCTTTATGGAATATTTAGTTTAATATATAATCGTCAAAAAAATCTTTTAACTAATCATATTAAATCAATGACATTAATTTTTCAATTAATTGATATTCTTAAAACATTAAGAATGTTAAAACTTGGAAGATATCATAAATCAATAAAACTTATTCTTGAATCTCTTGGTTTGTTTTCTTATATGAAGATAAAAAAAAACAAACAAACAAAATAAATGCTTTGAATATTTTTATTTTATTATTTAGGAGAAGCTTCAATGGATCTTTTAACATTTAGTATTGTTTTATTAGGTACAAGTTGTGTATTTGGTGCAATTATTTATTCAATTGAACGAACAACAAATCCAACATCAACTATACTTTTTCCAAATGTTGGAAATAGTGTTTATTATACATTATTAGCTATTACAAATGTTGGCTTTGAAGGTTTTTTACCATCGACTTATTTAGGAAAATGGATTGCTTGTGCAGCAATTACTATTGGTTTATTAACAAGTATGAAAAAATAAAAATTGTTTTTCAATTAATTTTTGTTTTTGCTTATATTAGTTAATATACCATTACCATTGATTTTATCACCATATACACGACAATTACTTATTAAAAATAAACATATTATTTATCGAGATGATTTGGAATTAGAAATTTCAAATGATAGTCCAGATGTTAAATATATTCGTAGATATTAAATTTACAATCGATATCATTAATTGTTTTGAATAATCGAATGTTGAAAATTCGATTTAAGTAACTTCAATTTCTTGCTGAACTCGATCTGGAATAGTTAGTTCATTTTTTTTTTGCCGATGTATAAAATTGATTGATACTTGTTTAAGCATTGGAGGGTGTCATGTTTTTATTTTAGCAACTACAAATATGCTTATAGATAGTGAATTAATACCTGAAAATGATTTATAAATAAGTAAATCTTTATATTGATTGCATAGAACATATTTTTGTTTGATCTCATGTACATAAATACAATTAAAACTATTTCATATAGCTGAAGGTTTTGGTGTTACTATTGGTTTAACGAAACTTATTGATTGATTAACTGTTCAATTTCCTTTTCTGTTAACATAATACTCTTCTCAACTAAGCGAAAACTTTTAAGTTATTAAGCATCGCATGATGGAAAAGTGAACAAGAAAAAATAACTGTACGTTGACTTTTTTTTTTGAGAACAATCAATAAACAGCTAAAACCTTGATCAATCTTGTTGATTTTTATAATTCGAACAGAAATTCTTTCGTTTTTTTTTACTGAAGCTCTATTGTTCGTCTTGTTGCAATTCACTCGTTTATTTTCTTTTTCGTATTCTGTTTTTCTTAGTTTTATCTTTTACACCTCATGGTGACTCCAGAAGAATTACTGATGAAACAACAATATTGGTGTCTTCGATATATCGATCAGGCACATTTTCGTTTGCCATAGAAATTTGGTCATTCTAGTGACCATTAGGAAGGAAAACACCGTAACAAAACTTCTATATGAAGTTTTTCATAATGAGTATGTTTCCATAGTAACTAAGGATGGTTCTAGAACATTTCAAAATACTTTTTGATGCATAGATTTACCACAGTTTTCATGTGAACAACGCAAAAGTATGAAATGATCAAATTCTAAGTTTCGGGGGTAATTAAATATTAGACTTTCTAAATTTATTGAAGAATATCATAGCGTGTTAACACCTGCTATAAATATAATAAATATTGACAATAGGCTTATTTATCAATTGAATGAATTGTAAGCAAGAAGTTTCGAGATAAAGTTATTTAGAAAAAGAAAATACATAAAAACCTCAAATTTCTGTAAAACTCAACTTTTTTTTTCTATAGTCAACCGGAATTATTTTATTCTAATGTATAGAAAATTGAAATGAAAATACTACAAATAATGATTAATTCTATTGAAAAATGAGGCGATGACTTTTATTATTAGCAATAGTTGTAACGTTAATATTATTATTTATTATACTGTACTTGATAGATACGATTATTACCATCATCAGTAAATAAGAGACTACCATCTTTCAATACAAGTAATCCAACAGGAAGTCCAAATGTATCAGGTCCTGATGGATTAAGAAGAAATCCAGTAACAAAATCTTCATAATATCCTAGTGGTCGATTAGTTGTATTATCGAATGGTATAAAAACAATTTTATAACCCGTACCATTATTTCTATTCCATGAACCATGTAATGCAGCAAAAGCACCATTTTGATATTTTATTGGAAATTGTTTACCTGTATAAAAACGTGTATCAAGTACAGCTGAATGAGCTTGAAAAAGAACATCAGGTGTTCGAGTTATTGATACAAGATCAGGTCGTTCACTTGTACCATTTTTTAAACGACGTCGAGGATCAATTAAATTTGAACTCATATAAGCATAAGGCCATCCATAAAAATCATTTTGTTGAATACGTGTAAAAAAATCTGGCACAAGATCATCACCAAGTCCATCTCGTTCTTGACATGCTACATATAAATCTTTTGTAATCGGATGAAAAGCTAAACCAATTGGATTTCGAAGACCATAAGCAAATGTAGTTTGATTACTACCATCAAGATTAGCTAGTTGAACAGAAGCTCGTGGTAATTGTTCAACATCAACATTCGTTCCTGAACCAATACCAATATAAATACGATCAATATCAGGTGATACAACAACTATTCGTGTCCAATGACCACGTCCATCATAAGTCATTACTAATTCACCTATTCCAAATATTTGACGACTACCTGTTGTCCATGGATAACGACGTGTAACATTTCGATTACCAACATAAAAATATCCATGAGCAAAAGCCATACTATATGGTTGATTGAGTCCATTTGATGCATCAGCAAATGTAGTACGTTCGTCTGGATAACCATCACCATCATTATCTATCAAACATGATATTCGATGAAGTCTTGGTTCACTAACTAATATATCGCCTGCTGGTGTATATATAAGGTAACGTGGCATAGTAAGTCCACTCATATATAACTTAACTGTAAACCCATTAGGAACATAGAGTATAGGATCTTCAGGAACAGGAAATACATTGGCATCTTTATTATATGATGGTGTAGCATATGGTTCTGGAAGATCAGCTACTGTTATGTGAATAGGCTCTGGAACGAAAGTAACATTTGTAGCATTAGTTCGATATTTATAGAAAATAGTTATAAGCACAAGTTGTATAAAAATTTGCTCTTGAAATAGTGATGATAACATTTGTTTTGGTAAACTTACAATAACAGTAGTCGTTTATTATGTCTTAAAGTATGCAAATAACAATCGGTATAAATAGAAGATATCATATGTGCTCTTTGATAAAATTTTCTTCTATGCATGAATCTTAGGTAAAGATTATAAGAACACAATACCTATATAGATTTCGAAAAGAATAGAAGCTTAATATTTACTCTTTGACTTAAAAGAAAAATCATATGAAAAAAAAAAACAAGTATCTAAGTGGATCAAACCAATTAACAATAATAAATATCATTGAATTAGAAACAATATAAGATATATAAGTGACAATTGTTATTATATGATATATCAATTCAATTGACATATTCAAAAGAAATGATGCTGTTAGTTGAAATAGAAAGAAAATATTTTTCTTTAAACACATCTGTTATCTATTTATTTTTTCTTATTTTATAATAGAAGAAATTTAACAAATATGATTTTTTTTCTTTTTTGTTGAAGACTAAAAACAAGTATAGAATTTTTATATTCAAGTGTTAATCAAAACATACTTGTTGGAAATCTATTCGTAAAAATAATCAAATATTTTATAATTGATAATTCAGTTTACCTTTACTATTCTATCTTCATTGATTTCAAAAAGAAAAAATTTAACAGATTCGTGTTACATCAAAAAGAAAGTCTAATTTGTAAATTAACACTTAAATGAATAAAGTGCAAGGTGAACTAGAAATTTGTATCAAAACAACATTTTTGAAAACAATCTGAAAAATCTAACGAAAAAAACGACATTATGAATTATTCTTCACAGATGTCCATCGCGGCAGCATTGTTTTTTTTTGCATGAAATTCCAGCGTCCTTAAATTTAACACTCTAAATTTAGTAACAATAGGTCTAGTTCAATATAATCATAGCACTGAAATTCAAAAACATTTTTTTTGAATCCTATTAGTACAACGGATAGGAATGTACAGTGTTACTACAACATTAAAACATCAAATCTATCAGAATATCTTTTTTGTGTAGCGATGTGTTCCAACACTTTAGTGAACAATGGTGTTAGTGTGTATAATTACATTGAGTCAGTGGTCAGAAACTAAAACTGGACATCGCTGACAAGAACATTGAACTTATGATAATATTAATTGATAGATGATGATACATCTGATAAAGGCTTCGCACTTATGTTTTGTTATTGCCAATTATTTTGCAACAACTGATGTCTTCTGCAGAATTTTCTGTTTTTTTTTTTTGTGTATATCGATACATATGCAGTCTAAGAAATTCACGTACAGACAACAAGCGCCAATATATGAGTAGGTATACGACCTTGAATAAGCCTTAAAACTGAATATTTTGATTATTATATACACCGACGACTCATTGCTGTATGTTAAAAATAACATTGTTATCGAGGTTACGATCATGAGATTTATGCTACCAAGTTTCCGGCAAGAACATGCTGGAAACTCACGATTTCAGATGTCGTGATCATTGACCTAGATACATTTCTGGGACACTTATATGGTTTCTATACAAAATTTCAGTACTTTGAAGTACTGAAATGTTGCTTTTTCTCCTTTGCGTAATCTACAAATCAATAGTGATCGGTTCTTAGATATCAAAGAACTTCAATCTCTCGAAATAATCATTCTCAATATCAATTTGAATTCTCTCTTTTTTGTTGTTGTTGTTTTTCTTGCGAATAAATCGATATTGTTGGACATATACTAGTGACATCTAGATCTGATTTTAAAAAAATAACATTTCTCATTTGTTTCAATTGAACAATAAAAAATTTTACTATTAAAAACAAAATTTTTTCTTTTTCGTTTTATCAATGATATAAAAATTTACAAGGAGGAAACATGAAAATAAAAATTCAAATTTATTTGAATATATTCAACCAATTAACAATCATATTTAATCCTCTATGACATCAATATAACACATTACAACTTTTTTTTCTTCTCTTCTTTCAGTTTCTTCTTTTCTCTCTCATACAATATGTATGCGAACGGCAACATCATTGTGTCTTTCTCGCTCACTCTCGTCATATAGAGGGACGCGTAGACGTAGAGTACATATAACAATATACCTACATTGTTCATTTATTTAAAAAAGACAAAAAAATAATACCTTGTTTATTTTTGACATATTTTTAGTATTTAACCAAATTACCCAAAAAATAACCTTCATTCGTCCAATAAGTGACGATCAAAAAAAAAAAAACAAATAAGAACACAAAAAAATAAACTTGATTTCATTTTCTTTTTTTTATTATTATTTATTTATTAATCATACCGCTGTCCATAAAGAAGTCAGCAATTGTTTAAAAAACATTGCTTTCAAAAAAAAGTAATCAAACAAAAATAAAATAAATAAATAAATTATTTTTTATTTTTTCTTCATTTGTTTTTTTCTTTTTCTTTTTTTTGGGTTATTAAAAGATGAACCGGAATCAACTTTTTATATAAAAATTACATCAAAATATATATTTGTTATCATTATTATTATTATTATTTATTCTTATATGCAAAATAATGAATAATACAGATCAACAACAATATTATGCTAATCAAGCAGCAGCACATTCACAAGCATCTGGTTATTATATGCCAAATAATGCCATGGAACAATGTAAAAAAAAAAATCTTGTTTTGTAAATCTTTTACAAAAATTTCTATTTTTATTTCTAGCATATGCACCACAGTTAAGAAATCCACAAGCATATGCATCACGAATGAATCCTCAACAAGTAAATTTCAATTTAAATAAATCTTTTATTTCCTATTTTTTGTTTAGTATATTAATCCACAAATGTCAAATGGTTATAATCAACCATTTTTTGTTCCTCAACCATTCCCACAACATCCATATTTACCTCAACATAATCAACGACCAATGGTTAGTTTCAAAAATCTATTCTAAAAGAAGAAATTTTGTATTTTATTAATTAGAATCCTTCACAAATATCAATTATTCGACCATCGAATGAAAATATAAATCCTTATCCACCTTTTATCTCACAAAATGGATATCCTCAAACATTTGCACCAACAAATAATAGTCTTCCAGCGACACAACCTGTTTATCAGCAATTTTATTCACGTAATTTGTTTTTTTTTTGGTATATTTTATAAAATAATTTCTTTTTTTGGTAATAGCTTTTTCAATGCAAACAAATTATCCAACACAACAAGTACCACCACAAATGCCTAATCAACAACAAATACCACAACAATCACCATATCAAATACCTGCTTTACAACAACAAGCACAAATTCATCCAACACAACCAACTCAACATACACAAGTAAATATTTTTTTTATATATTTTGCACAAAAAATACAAAACTTTCATTTTGTTATAGATTGATCAATCAACTGTATCAACATCTCAGCCTACAATTGCACAAAATATCCAACAACAAAATCCGTATGCGTCAACAGTACAACCAACTGTAACAGAAAAACGACAAAGAAAACCATTAACTATTGTTGATCCGGTATCACATAAACCTGTTGAAGTCTCACCACAAACGACACATTCATCAACTCCAAATACTACGATAACATCATCGTCAGTATCATCTACTACAACAACAAGTGAAAATCGTCCAATTGATTCGACAACGACAGATTCAGGTCAATCAAATAATAAACCGACAAATGATCCAAATAAAACACAAAAACAAGCTGATTTTCGACGACAATTTGCTGAAATTTTAGTCGATTCTTCCAATACTCAAACAGATAAGGTATAAAATCAACATTTTGAAATATTATTAATGTGTGACCAAATAAGATAATAATACGAAATTTTTATGGAAGAGATTTATTTTCCTAATGATATACATCTCATTCGGAAAATTCCTAACTATGTATCTAATATTTTTTTTTTATAAGACTACTAAAATGAGAAAATTTCATCAGATATCTTCTTCGGATTAGAGTATATTTACATGAAAATATAAATCATTTTCAGAGTTTCGATTTGAAAAGATGTTACTTTCCGAATATCTTCTAAATTATAGGACAATCAGCTGCGGGGAGATACATAGTCATGTATTAAAAGCTCGAAAAAAAGATTTGACGAAGTTTGTCTTCAATGTAAGAGATTGTACAATGTAAAAAACAAAGCATTTTAAAAACTTTGTATCCTACGAGACAAGTCTCATGACTACTTAATTGTTTGACTATGTGCGTCATTTAAATGTTCTAAAAAGAGTTCGGATTCTTAGTGGATTACTACGAAGATACTGCACTTATAGAGTACTTTTTTTGCTAAATGTCGTGATGCCAAAAAAAAAACAACCGGTTTTCGAATTTCGACTTAAGAAGATAAGCTTTAATGGAAATAGTTTATTATGAGAATTTCAGATCTTTTTGTATTCACGCGAAAAATCTTTTTAGATTATGTAATAGAATTGATTTTTTTTGTTTTTTTAAAGTGTAAGAAGAAAAATAAAAAAGATCTGAGACTTTCACAAATAAAATATTTTCATTATCATAGAAAGTTTTAAGGTGGAATTCGAAATGATCTATCAGTTATGGAATTTTTCTCGTAAGATACGAACTTTTTAATAATGGATTTTTTCTTTTTTTACATTGTACAATATTCTTAAAAAAACTCATCGAAAGAAAACCTAATTTCAAGTTTAAATTCGATACATTTTATACATTAACCAATGGTCAGTAAACTAAAACTATGTATTCCTATCTAGAAAGATTATTTCGGTAAGTTCAAACAGTTTACATCAAAAATAAGGTTTACTATCGTCGTACATTATGTGTGTGTGTGTTTTTTTTAATGATGAGTACATTTTCGTCACCTTGCTATATAGGTGTAGGAGAGTTAGATAATGACATTAAGTTTAAACTATATGGAATCAAAATTGAATAATTCGCTTGTTTTTCTCTTAGAATACAAATCAACAATCAATATCTACAGGATCAAATGAAGAATTATCTGGTGCTACATCAATAAAACAAAATTTAAATAAACAATCTGAAACAAATATACAACAATCAACATCATCAGCATCATCATCTCGATCAGGTTCAATATCACGACCTAAATCTCCGATATCATTATCAGAAACACCAAGTAAAGAATCAACATCAAGTAAATCATCTGAACAACCACAACCACAACCAGGTCATCCGGGTATATTGACACGAAATTTAACTGATGATAAATTAATAACAAAAATTAATCAAGATGATATAAAAGATAAACAAGATTATAGTGATTCTCAACAACAACAAGAATCCGAGCCAATTGAAACAACTGAAAAAACAAATAATAATGATGAAAATGATGATGATAATAATAATACTTCAAAAACAACGGTAAAAAATAAATATTTTGTTTTTCTGTCTTCTAATAGATTTTACTATAGTTTCTTATGTTTTTTCCTTGCACTATTGATTATTTTGTTTCATTTTTGTTTTTTTTTTCTCGATTCATTTTATAACCTTGCACAATCTATTTGTAAGAATATAGAGAGATATAATAATTGTATTGAAAATAATTTTTCCTAGGAAACTAAAATAACAAAATGAATTTTCGAGATTTTGTTTTTTTTTCCTATTACGGATAATATATTAGATTATTCTCCTTTCCTTTGTATAACATTTTTATTTTCGATACTATGACTCATAAGAACATTCTTTCTCTTGCCATTTTTCTTTCCTTTCTTTCTTCATGTTGAGTATGTCTCGTTACCCATCTATTCAACGCATGATCATCTATATCTATCTTATGTAAGAACACAAAGAACAAAAAAGAAAAAAAAAACATCAGTACATTTGTGTACAATAATAGCACGACATAAAGAAGGACAACATTTAAGTGCTGATTTTTCTTTCATTTTCAAAAGATATGTATATTAAATAAAATTATTTTATGAAAAAAAGAAAAGTATGGTAAGACAGGCTCATCAACGTAAAAAACAACGAATGTATATTCGAAATAGCCAGGTATTCATCAAAACTCAATATTGTTTTCTTTTTTTTCTATGATTATTTAGTCTGATGAGTATATACCTGCGGTTAATGATGAAATTAATTCAAATCCACCACCAGAATCACAATCAACCACACCACCATTATCAGCCACAGCATCATTAGAATGTGTTACACCACCACAAACACCAACAGCAATAATAAATGATGAAAAATCTCAAGAACCACCAAATCAACGTTTACGTTATGATCGTCACGAACTTTTACGTATACGTGAAAATTCAGGACCATTTCCTATTCCTCAAAATCTTCCTGATCTTGATATTGTTCTTAATCGACGTGATAATACTAATCCACGTTATTCATATACAGGTACAAATAGTCAAGGACGTATGAATCCTCCATTTCATCGACAATTATCATCAAGTAATCATCCATCATTAACACGTTATCAAAATAATCCAAATTCTTCAAGTGATTCAAGACGTAAAGCAGGAATTTATTTAGCAGCTGAACCTGATTTTAGTAATCGTGTTGACAATCCTTATAAACCAGTTGATCAAACTAAAATTGATGCTAATAATAAAGTTTTACGTGATGTTAAAGCCATATTAAATAAAGTAACACCACAAACATATGATAAATTACAAAAAAAACTTGAATTATTAGAAATTGATCGTTATGAAAGATTAGAGGGAATGATAAAAATATTTTTTTCTAAAGCTGTTGATGAACCAGCATTTAGTTTTCTTTATGCAAAATTATGTAAACAATTTCAAAAAGTATATATATATATTTTTTTTTGAAATAATTTTTGTAAATAAAATTCGAAATTTCTCTTTCGATTTATTCTAGAAACAAGTCACTGTACCAAGTGAAGATGGTAAAACAGTAACACATTATTTTCGTCAAATCTTATTAACACGTTGTCAAAAAGAATTTGAAAATGATTATAGACAAGAAATTGAATATGAAAAACGAAAAAGTGAAGTTGAAACTATAACAGATGACAAAAAACGTAAAGAAGAAGCAGAAAAATTAGAAGAAGATCTTGTTAAAGCTAAACGAAGAAAATTAGGAAATATTTTGTAAGTATATTTATGAACTATTAACAAACAAATACATGTTTCAAATAGAATTTGAAAACATTCTTCGACAAGTCACTACATCAAAAATTTAGAACTTATGTATAGGGTGTGTTAGTAGAATCTTGAAAGAGAAATTTTTTTTTCGAGTATTGAATTCCGTTTTATTTTGAAAATGTCCCGCCGGATCCAAAATTCTATTGCACCCGAACCTGACAGGCTCTATGTGTTTGCTGGTGATCGCAAAAGTGTATCTCACACCTTCTCAGGATATATCAAAAAATTTCATAAGGAGTAAAATTCGAGTTCGAACACCAAAAAAATTTTATCAATGCAAGTTGTGTTCAAAATTTTTCAAATCAACGAACTCTATTGTATAGGTTTAGAAAGCTTATTGATAATAAGAGTTCATAAGTTTGTATTATATTTAAGAATAAGATTATGTAAGACAAAATCGAAAAGAGTTGTACTAATGATGAGTCAGAGAGTTTTCAAGCAGTAGATAGATCTAATTGTCGTTTTTCAATGGAAAATGAACGTTGTTATTTATCTTCGGAATAGAATTGATGATTGTAATTACATCTTTTTTTTGGTTGCAACGTATCTCTAGTCATGCTATGATTGATGACTAGTCTGTAGTTTTCTGAATTTAAAGAAAAAAACTCAACAAAAAGTTGTTAGTGCAATTCGTGTAGGGTTAAAATATGTTTGACGAGTTCAGTTATTTTTTCATGTATAAAAACAAAATAAGAATAGTCCTAATGACACACGTACTATAACCTTATCAACAAAGAAAGGGCAATCAAAACAAAAAGAAACATTAATTTTTATTGCAATTCAAAGATATTAAAATGTAAATATTATTTTAATAATACAAAAAATTTATTAAGAGATTGATATGAATTTTTCATCTGCAAGAAAAATTATTAATTTCTTTTGAAATATCAATCTTTGTTTAACTCGGACTCGCCCAGCCTTGAATTTTGTTATATCTGACAAATACATTGTTCAAAAATAAAAATGTCATAACCTTTTTCGAATATGATGTTCTTCGATTTCATCTTATTGAAACATTTTCATAATCATAATATATGATATTAGACACTGATGAATTTTGTCTCATAAGATTTATTCGATTTAATTAATAGATATTCTTATCAATCGAACAACTATTTTAATCAGGAATTTTGTTATTTTGTTTTTTTTTATAGTTTTATTGGTGAATTATTTAAATTACAAATGTTAACTGATACAATTATGTATGATTGTATTGAATATTTACTTCGTGATAAAACTGATGAAGAAAGTCTTGAATGTTTATGTCGTCTATTACGTACTATTGGTAAAGAACTTGATGGTAAAGCTAGTGAAAAAGTATGATGATTATTTTCTAATTGATTATTGAATTTAATTGATTTATTTTTTTCTAGTCTACAAATAAATCAAATTTAGAAAAACATTATCGTGAATTAGATGCAATTATTAAGGAACAAAAAGCATCAGCACGTATTCGTTTTATGATTCAAGATCTTATAGAATTACGACAAGTAAGTTAAAGAATAAATATTTGAAATAAGTTGAATATTATTATATAGATCGTATTTGAGATTAAAGAGAAAATTCAAAAAGATTTCTGAATACAGATTTTCTTTAGTTGATTATTTGAAAAAAAAAAAGTTTTGAATTCAAACTTTCCATAAATAGACTCAATCAAAGTATCAAACTGTTTTTCTTTTGCATTCTGTTAGAAGAAAGATATTTTTCCTTTGCAAAACAATTGCGACATTCGCCTCCTCCAATATTAACTGCTTCGGGCCTCCACAGTAAATATAACAACAAATGGAAAAAAACAAGTATTTGACCCTTTTAGAACGAGCTATATGTAGGTTTGTAGAAAAAGATTTCCTCTATTTCATGATATATGCATTATCGCGTTCTATTTGATGTTATACAAATGTCAATAGAAGGCGCGAAGGTGACGCCATCTATTAAGATGTCAATTGTACGCAATAATAATATATTCCTTGATGAAATTCTCGAATAAATTTATTTTCTAAATAAAAAAAAAAAAAACTTCAATTAGGCTTCATGGGTTGCTCGTCGTGCTGAAGCAAAACCAACAACAATTGATGAAATTCATGAACAAGAACGTTTAAAACGTGAACAACAAGAACGTGACCAAGAACGTGACCGACAACAACGTCGTGATCAAAATCGTGGTACTGCTATTGGTAGTGCTTATAGTGGAAATAATCAACAACAGTATAATGATGGACGTGGTAGTCGTGGTAGTGGAATTAAACAACAATCAAGTAGAAACGAAGAAGATCGAGTTGAAAATCGTTTTAATGTTAATAGTTTAAGACAATTACAATCAAATGATAAACGAAATCAAGGACCATTCGTAAGATAATTTTAATAGATGATTAAAATAATGAAATTTTTGTTTTTATAGGCAATGAATTTAGCTCCACAACGTACATGGACAAAAGGATCAGGCATTGAAAAGAAACCTGAAGAAGATCGTTCATTTGGTGGTGGACGGTAAGAAAATTATCTAAAATATCTTATGACAAATCAATAAATTCAAACGATTTATTTGTAAAATCATACGCTAACAAGTTTTATTCAAGTGCTTGTAAAATTTGCAGAGACGAAGCATGTTACAATATTATTTAACATTGATTGTTATTGGTATTGTGACATGTCTAGCGGCATACCGTCAATGCTGTGAAATAAGATTGAGTTCAAAACGAATATTATACAAACATCCATAGTTACTATGAGTATCCATGTCCATAAACTGTACAACTTTGACGGTATCCACAGGCTTTACAGTCACCTGTTTTATTTCGATATACATAACAAAGGATAAGATCTTCTAGAACTTTCTTACAGAGTTGTAGCCGTTTTATTGAAGTTTCAATCTATAGGATAGTTCGTACGAAAGAATCAATTGAATGACCTGAGAATTTCAGCTCAAAAGAATATTTTCATGGTATTCTAGAATCATTCGTGGAATATGAGTGATTTTCTTTTGGGAATTCAATATCTTATCAAAAGGAACATTCAAATAGAATTTCTTAGCAAGTATGTAACGTATTTGTTCTAATCTTTAGTACTGGTAAACCACCTGCTGGTCCAGTTCAACAACTCAAAGGTAAAATTGGTTCATCTCAAAGTGGTTCAGCTTATCCTCTTCAACGTCAATCATCACGTGTAAGAATTAAAAACAAAATATTCTTGTACAATATATTTGTATTCTTATTTTCTATATATAGGAATTAGCACGTGAAAATAGTCAACGTGATCGTGAAAATGCTTTACAATCATTACGTAAAACAACAACTGGTAGTGGAATAAATAGTCCAGTACATACAACTGGTACATCATCCATGGCAAATTCACGTGAAGGTTCACGTAATGTTAGCCGTGAACAATCACGTAATGCATCACGTGAATCAAGTGTTAGTGAACGTATATCAAATGCTAATTTAGCAGTACAAATAAATAAATCAGCAA